AATGCCTATGTAAATGTCGCCAGGTAGGCGACGGAGAGGGCGTCCAGCCAAACGGTGGGTAGAGGGCATCCGTGGAAGAGATGGAGAGATGTCAGCCTCCGGAGGATCTCTACCATGACAGATTCCTGTGGAGAGTAGGCGTCGCAGAGCGTCCCAGCGCGCCGTAAAAGCGGCTTATACATATATACATTTAACAAAATGCCTGATTTGACTATTTGCCTTCGACATACACATTTAAAAGTAGAAAAACTCAAGAAACCGACGGATTCGCAGTTTAAAGATCTTTTTACCATGAGATAACGCACTCGCCGCGAGGAGATTAGGCGGTCAGTCTGTTCACCTCAGTTTGTATACGTTTAACGTCGTAGAAGTTTCGCGTTAAACACTCTGCATCACTGATCGAACAAAAGAGGAAGAAAACAAGAATTATATAGACTTAAAACTTTTTTTGGCAAAACCGATTACTTACTTATTTACCTATTCACGATGGCCATTTCGGGTGGTCAGGCCGCCCATCTTCAGGTGACTGCCTCATTGTTGGAAAGTCCAACAATGAAGACTTTACAATGAAGACCAAGAAGACTTTCCAACAATGAGGCAGTCACCTGAAGATGGGCGGCCTGACCACCCGAAATGGCCATCGTGAATAGTAAATAAGTAAGTAATCGGTTTTGCCAAAAAAAGTTTTAAGTCTATATAATTGTGTGTAGTGCCGATAAAATTTTACAAGTGCAATATGCAACAATATAGAAGAAAACAAGGGTGTCACTGCCGCGGTGGATGACGTCAAAAACCTGACTTTTTCAAAGGGCGATATCTCGTGTAGTATTGAACTTAGAAAGTTGCGGTTTGGATCGATCTTATTATTTTTTGCTAATCAACAAGAATTAAAGCATTAAAACATAATACTGTGACCAGCCATTCGTACTTTTACTGAATTTTCTCAATGATCATACAATGCTGAAGACAAATAATTTAAGAAAATTTCCCCCAATAGTTTCCTTTCTAAAATAGAACAAGTTGTCAATTGCAACACATTAGTGTTGCATTAGCGTGCCAAGGAGAAAAGTTTTTTCTGTAAAATTGGTATTTTATTTTATTCTCTGTAATTCAAGATTATAAATAAATCACCACTTAAAACTCACATATGTATATAATTAATTGTGAAAATAATTGTAAAATACGAAAATATTGTATACTTCTTATGACAACATTGACAATAGATTTGAGAGAGAAAAAATCGGCAGGAAAATTTACAATAATTAACTTTCAAATCTTTACCGCCTTACCGATGGCCGTGCACGAAGCAACACACATTCAACCAAAAAATGGGCCTGTTGCAAACTTTTGCTAGAGCAAAAATAAGAGTTGTTTCTTGTAGATAATGCCTCAAAAATCACGATGAGCGCATCGGCAAAGTCTGAAATGCACTCATAACTTCACAATCTGCGTAAGAAATTTGCGTTTTTTTAAGCTTCCCGCTTCAAAAACGATACTACGGCGTAGGTGAACATTTTGTTAGAGGAGTCGCTCCATCGTCGGCGATATTCATCATGGCCGACACTTGCGCGCAGTTTTGCGCGTAATTCGAGGAGAGTTCAAGGTCAATCAATGCGGGCGTGGAAAACATGAACGTTAAAACACGCCGATTGTTATCTGGTCTAATCCAGTTCAGGTATTATCTCGTCCCATCACACGTGTTTTGGCGGATTGGCGTCGGCCATGATGAGTATTGCCGACGATGGAACGACTCCTCTTACAAAATGTTCACCTGTGCCGTAGTATCGCTTTTGAAGCGGGAAGCTCAAAAAACCGCAAATTTCTTACGCAGACTGTGAAGTTATGAGTGCATTTCAGACTTTGCCGATGCGCTCATCGTGATTTTTGAGGCATTATCTATAAGAAACAACTCTTAGTTTTGCTCTAGCAAAAGTTTGCAACAGGCCCATTGTCAAAAAACCGCCGTTGATTCGATCGATTCACAAGTTACTTGCATGCTCTTATTTAAAATTATTAATAAAAATATGTAAAGAAAGAGAAGAAAATTAGTTGGGATTTATGTAATTTTTTATCATTTGAAATGACAATATTTCCAAAAAACATAACAAAAACTTCATAATCATAGGTTCGAAACCTCTAATGTCGTAAGTTTGAATAATTATATCAAACACAGTACGGCCGGCGCGCGGCTATCGGCTAGCGCGCACGGCGCAAAACGCATGGAGGCGCCTTACAAGACCACAAGATACCTCATGCATTGCGCGTACAGCACGGTACGCGCGGCGGATAGTATAGCGCCTTACAAGTCTGCAAGATACTTCATGCAATGCGCGTATACCTCGGTGCGCGCTCAAGTCATTTAAAAGTCGTATTTTCTTGATGTCGGACATCATACCCCGGTTTACAAAATTTCCGAACAGAGCACACCGCATCCAAGAAATGGCCTATCTGCACCAAACGCCTTAATTTTGGAAACCTCCTCAGTTTGGAGATTTTAAATGTGTCAATCAAGTGCCACAATTCCACATTGATAAAGAAACATTATCCTTTGATGAAGCATATCATCGTGGTGTTTCATTTCTTACGCTGACCGATGGTCCATTCAATGACGTCATTCTTCACCTACGTGGACAAACACTCATTGTACATTGTAGCGTGCGGCGAGGCGAGGGTAAGCAGGGGCAACTTTTGCTTTTGGTTATGACGTCATGGATGAAAGATAACCAGGCAACGTAATTTCTTGAAAACCTCGTCGGCTCTTAATCTCTCTTAGCTGAATATTCTGTATAAATCTCAAGCTATAGAGTTAACTTGTTATATCAAAGAATTTTACTGTAATGATAAGGAAGAAAGTCGTAAGAAAATTCGAGAGTTGCCAAATTTCCCTCGATAAAACATGTATTTTTGATGACATTCATGCAAATTTTTCCTTGAAATTTTCAGATATTTTAAATTGAATTACGTACAGAATTGTCTGAAAATTTTTGGGGAAAATATTCATAAATTTCCCAGATATTTCGGGCTTTATCGAGGGAAACTTGGCACCGTTTAATGGCTCATACGGCGTTTTTCTCAGCACGGCAGTAAATAACAACTGACATTTTTAAACAACGCAATAGAGATACACTGAAAAAATCGGATTGCTGATTTAACAATTATATTGTTAAAAAATATGCCCGATATGTTTCAAATGTACGTTTTACAACTGTGGCGTGGCGTCCATAGGTTCGCAGTGTTCGCCGAACACCCTAAAATATTTTGAAACAATTAATAAATTATGGCTAAGAATGTGGGAAGCAATACAGAATAGTAGATCGCAAATAATTATCGGGCGCTTGGCTTTCGACAGCGGCATGTGGCGTGGCGGAGAGAGAAAATCCTGTGACGCGTAGTCCGCACCGGCTACCAAACCTGGATGATCTGCGTACGGTGAGGAGAGAGAACCTGGGTGCAATGATGAAGGGGCAAAGGGTGAACGAGAGAGGAGAGCCACCGGCGCGCGGCGCAGAGCGGAGCGTGAGCATTGGGTTCGGAGACGAGTGCGGACCGCGCTCGCGGAGGGAACACAGCAGAGAGAAAAGGGAGGGGAAAAGAACGAGAGAGGAGAGCCGCTCATCAGTCCAGCTGTTTCCTATAGCAGTGGTCCGCAGGGGTTTGCGAACCGCCGAATTTTCTCTATGCCGCGATTCGCACTCCGCTTCCCCCCTGCGCCTGCGGGCCGCATCTCCCAGTTTCCCAGTCTCCCTCTCCCACCTCTCTCTGCAGGCGCGTGTTGCGAAAATACGTTATCATATAACAAAATAAATTACAGGAAAACGATCGGTAAAAAGAACAAAATTTCAATGACAATTTACCGGCACAATTTTCACCAGAAAGGGTTAAAATCGTGTTCTTGCGGCTTCGTTTTTTAAAAAGTTTCCGGGGGAGGCCCCCCGACCCCCCTTCAAGGAAGGGGAGTGAACCTTTCTGACCCCCCCCCGTAAAGTTAACACTCCTACCGAATGCCTACCAGATAGTCACGCCACGCCACTGTAATTTACAATAGAGGAAAGCTAACCTAACGATGGGGGTAGTTAAATTAGCATTTGTAATTATAGAATCTATATTGAAACATACTGAACACTTTTTTAACTACAGAATTGTTGGATCAGCAATTTCATTTTTTCCACATAAGTGGTTTCGCACTTTGGCCATGGATATCGTCTCGCTGTCTCTGTTTCTACTCTGACCAATGCTGTCCTGCTGAGGAAAAACGTCGTATGAGCCCCAAGGCGTTGCCAAATCTTCTTTCACTAATCATGAATTTTTGGGCTAATTTGTTAATATCTCTCCTCCAATTTTACAGAGGGTTTTGTTCGTAGTTTGATCTAAAAAATCTAAAAATTGCAGGAACAAATACTCAAAACTTTTTCATTAATTAAATATTTTCTGAGAGGAAATTTGGCAAAGTTCGAATGTTCATACGGCGTTCTTTCGTAGTATGGTCCATTCAATGACGTCACCCGTTACCGACGCGGACAAACACTCATTGTGCATTGTAGCGGGCACAATGGCAAGGGTGAGTAGGTGTAGGGGCCAAATCTCCTTCCACAAATCATGAATTTTCGGGAAAACTTGTGAATATTTCTCCTCCAATTTCACAGAGGATTTTGTTCGTAATTTGATCTAAAAAATCTAAAAATTGCAAAAACAAAGTTTCAAAATTTTCTTTAAATTAAATATTTTCTGAGAGGAAATTTGGCAACGTTTGAATGTTCATACGGCGTTCTTCGGTAGCACGGCAGAATGGTCCATTCAATGACGTCACCCTATACCGACGTGGACAAACACTCATAGTACATTGTAGCGGGCACAACGGCGAGGGCGAGTAGGGGCAACTGTTGCTCTCGGTTATGACGTCACGGATGACGGCGCCGCGGGGCGGGGCGGGGGGTGGGGGCGGGGGTGCGTGGGGCCGCTTTGAGCCCCGTCCCGCGTGTGCGTTGGGAGTTATAGTCATAACGCGCTGCGGAGCCCGACACGGCAATTTTCCCGGCGACTCCGGACGGCGCATCATGTCCCTGCTCCAAGTGCTCTACCTCCTCGTCCTCGCATCCGCCTGCATTGCCGCCGTTTCAGGTAAACTTAATTTAATTTAATTAATGTAAAATACACAAAAAATGATCAAATCATCATGTAAAGACCATAAATTATTCTAGTCATTAGGTAGATACATAGAGATCGAGATAGCGTCAACTCTGATAGTTGACTCAGACCCCATGAGTTAATTAATTACATTTAAATCATGTAAAATCCACAAAAAATTAATAACTTTATCAAGAAAGGCTCGGAAATTATGTAAAATATAAGGTAGGTACTTAGAGATCGAGATCGCATCAGAACTTAATTAACCTTTAATTAACTTAAAAAACCCCACGAGTTAATTAATTACATTTAAATCATGTAAAATCCACAAAAATCAATAAACTTATCAATAAAGGCTCAGAAATCATATTTGTTATAAGGTGGATACTAAGAGATCGAGATAGCATTAAGACTCTGATTATTGACTCCTTACCCCATGAGTTAATTAAGTAAATTTAATCATGGAAAATCCACAAAACATTAATCAACTGATCAATCAAGGGTCAGAAATTATATTAGTTATCGGGCGGATACTTAGAGATCGAGATCGCACCAAGATACAGATAGTAACTCTCTACCCCATGAGTTAATTAATTAAATTCAATTAATGTAAAATCCACAAAAATTAATAAAATCAGCATTTAAAGACCATAAATTATTCCAGTCATAAGGTGGATACTTAGAGATCGAGATAGCATCAGGGCTCTAATAGTTAACTCTCTACCCCATGAGTTAATTAATTACATTTAATTAATGTAAAATCCACAAAATTAATTAAATCATCATTTAAAGACCATGAATTATTCTAGTTTTAAGGCGGCATTCAGAGATCGAGATAGCATCAAGTCTTCGATAGTAACTCTCTACCCCACGAGTTAATTAATTAAATTTAATTAATGTAAAATCCACAAAATTAATTAAATCATCATTTAAAGAACATAAATTGGATTGCATTTTGCAAAAAGGAACCACTAGCATTGCAATGATGCTAAGATTGTGCAACTTCATCCTTTGCAATAAAATTGCGGAAATTGTGAAACACTAAGAAATTTAGGTGGTAATTTTTGTCTTAAATTTACAGTTTTTAGCGAGTAAAATAGAAACTATTAAGGGATAATCGGGGTTTTCCTCCAAGACAAAAGAAGTTGCACAATCTTAGCAACATTGCAATGCTAGTGGTGCCTTTTTGCAAAATGCAATCCAATTATTCATGTTAAAAGGCGGATACTTAGAGATCGAGATAGCACCAAGGCTCTGATAGTTAACTCTCTACCCCGTGAGTTAATTTATTACATTTAAATCATGGAAAATCCACAAAATGATAATCAACTCATCAATCAAGGATCAGAAATTATATTAGTTATTGGGCGGATACATAGGGATCGAGATCGCATCAAGACTCTGATAGTCGACTCCCTACCCCATGAGTTAATTTATTACATTTAAATCATGGAAAATCCACAAAATGATAATCAACTCATCAATCAAGGATCAGAAATTATATTAGTTATTGGGCGGATACATAGGGATCGAGATCGCATCAAGACTCTGATAGTTAACTCTTTACCCCATGAGTTACCTAATTAATTACATTTAAATCATGTAAAATCCACAAAACATTAATCAACTCATCAATTAAAGATCAGAAATTATAAAAGTTATAAGGCGGATACTTGGAGATCGAAATCGCACCAGGCTCTGATAGTTCACTCTCTTCGCCATGAGTTGAGCTTTGAATTCTGCATGAGGAACACAAATCTATGTTGTAGTATTCGTAAAAATATAGAGTCTCAAATTTCTCTCTGAAAATGTCAAAACGTTGGTAATGACTCTTTCATTAAAAAAAAATTAAAAATATTGATACAAATTTGGAGCATTATGCCGTGAGCTGTGGTGGGATAGGTCAATTCTAGATCACGAAGTAGTAGAAGTAGAAGTAGTGCTACTACTCAAAGATCGAGAAAGAATCAAGCCTTTGACAGTTGATTCTTTTCTCCATTGATTATTAATCTTGGATTTCTGATTGTAAAGAAAGAAACTAATCCGTAAATAATTAGAAATTACTTTGATTTTGAGGAGGATACTTAGAGATTGAGATAGGATAAAATTTTTAATTGTTGACTCTCTACTTCATGATTTAATTTTAGGTAGGTATCGGATCTAGGAGACAAAATTTTGGAGTGAAATTATGGAGTCCATAAAGCGCCCAAAACCCCGAGTGATACGAATGCGGAGCGGAATTTTTCTCCTTATGGAGTGACTTACACTATGAAAAAGCGGAATCTACTTCTTTTGCGGCGTGTTATACGTTTTTATGGTGCTAATTTCATTTCGAATTCATATCACTCGGGATTGTAGGGCGCTCGCTATTTAGACTTCGCGGCACCGGATTTCACTCCTCGATTTTTAAAAGTGAATGATTTAGTTTCTGTAATAACTTAGAGTCCTAAATTTCTCCCTTTTTTGAGAATCATTCTTTCAAAAAGGAGAACATTGATCAAAATTTGCAACATGATATCACAGAGTAACAAGTCTAATTTTTAAAAAATCAAAAAATGTCTCGTTACGAATAAGTAACACTATGCTGTGTTAATCATTAATGTGTTAGGGTGAAAACGCATAGATCTAAATGGGAATAATAATAGTGAAAAAAGTTACAATCAAAAAGACAAAAATCAACCCCTCTAAGAATTTAACTAATGATATTGACTTAGACTTTTGAAAGTTTTGGTCTAGCCACACAGTTCCTGAACTGTAATTTAAACTTTAGCTAAAATGTCCTTCATGCCTGAAAATAGCTAAAGTTTTTTTGCGTTACGTAACTTTGTGCCTGAAAAAAGATAACTTTTTGTCTTTTTAATCCTTCATTTGAATCTTTTGATGTCAAAACCTAACGCGTCCACAAAAAAGGGGTTTTTAATGGGAAACTTATCTTCGAGAGATATTCTATTGTTTATATGAATAAGACAGAGTGGTCCAAAAGGGCCACAAATTTCGGTTTTTTCAGTGCACTTAATGTTCTTGTTAAGGTCGGGATTTGTAACAGGTTTTTCTTTTAACCACTAATTAACATTCAAATCTGGGGGTCATTTCTAACTTACTTTTTCAGACGACCGTCATTAGTTTAACCATGGGAAGTTAAAGAGACCATTTCCATCACAAAAAATTAAACAATTATTTTACCGAATACCTCCGAACCTCTCCTTTCCTTTTACCTTTCCTCATTTTTCTTCCGTTTTCTTCTATTTTCCTCCATTTTTCTTTCTTTTTCTCTTTTTTTACCTTTTCTCCCCTAGTCTCCCTTATTTTTCTTCTTTTTATTTTGCTTTTCTTCCTTTTGTTCCTTTCTTTTTGTTTTAATACAAATTTTGCCCTATGTTTTTCTTTACCAACTCAAAATATAATGGTTGGATTGTTCATCTCATCGGCCAAAATATGAAATTATCCCTTCAGCGATAGCTTCCGGGACGAAGTTATCCAAATTCGCAACGCCTTAGTATCGAATCTAGGCTTCAAAAACCTCAATCCGATTTGTGTAATCCGCGATCCCGCACAGCGGAATGGCGTACCGAAAAAGATACCTATTAAGTCCACGGGCCAATTTAGGTTCTCCCGTCAACATCTTGTGGACGAAAAGGGTGCGAAACGAGGGGGAAAGCTGTGGGAAGCTCCCGTTCTGTACCTGGAGACAGTGGCGTGGCGTGCTTTGCGATATATCGATTGTTATGCCATTTAAACCTATGGAAAAGGATCGATTAACAGGGTGTTCACAGCGAACACCTTAATAATCGATTCTTTACCATAGGTTTAAATGGCATAAAAATCGATATATCGCAATTCACGCCACGCCACTGCTGGAGAGGAATTTACCGAGCTAATTTTACCCGGGCGTTGGAATGATCGCAGGGACAGCTGGAAAAAAGGTAGTCGCTGGCTCCGTTAAACTGCGTTCTTCCTTGTTGGCTTTTTTAAAAGAGAAAAATGCCCCATTAGTGACGGAGGCGGCTTTTTAAAAGTTTCATTAGTAATTTCTCGGACGCCGCACGGAAATATTTTCATAAACCTCAAAGTTTTATTTTTTTAATGGGAGACGTTTCTAGTCCCAATTTTTCCCGCACTGAAAAAAATATTTGTCATAAGACATTATTTTTACCTAAGGCGTCGTTTCTTGTCGACATTTTTTTTCTTTCTTTTTTTTCAAAGTTAAATCCGTGCGGAGATAATTTGAATCAGTGATAACGAAAACACACCAACTCGAAAAAATGAAAATAATCAAGACACCCACAAAACTCTACAGTAGTTGAAGAAGTTAGTCCAAGAAAAATATTTTTGGTGCAGAATGAAAAGTACTTGAGGACACTTTGAAGGTCCAAGTTGGAACAGATGCGCTAACTTCAATGGTCTTAATGAAAATTGGCCGCCTTTAATGAAAATTGAACATTTTTTAGTTACCGAGTTGGTGTATTTTCGTTCTCACTAAGTCATTTAAAGTCAATTTCTTCGAGTTAAAGAAACGGTTGTTTTGTTATCGTTAGGTTTGAATTAAATAAGCAATAGCAAAACAACGTTTCTTCAACTCAAAAACACCAAATTTTGCTGACAAGAAACGACGTTTTAAGTCAAAATAATATCTAAAGGACATTTTTTCGGTGCAACAAGCCCGATCGGTGAGCGCCATAATTAGTTATATCATAGAGAGGTTTCTGGCGGATTTTTTTACAAGCTACACTGAAAAAAATAATATGCTGTTTTAGCACCAAGGATGTCAAAAATGTGTCTGGTGATCCCATGATGCTGCCTTTACTGCCCTCGCAGTTAACTTTACATCCTATGAATGCAAATTCAACTGAGTGGGCAATCACGGTAGCATCTTAGGATCACCAGACACATTTTTGACATCTTAGGTGCTAAAACAGCATACCATTTTTTTCAGTGTATTACTCTCAGAAAAGCGAAACGATATGATTCCTATAAAATTCCCGTTAAAACTATGA